TAAAACAAAAAAAGCACAAAACAGGACAGGCAGGAGCCAACAAGAAAACCCATACCGTATTCTCTTAAGAAAGAAAACACAAAGGAAACCCAACAAAGGAAACTACCTTGAAAACCACATTTCCTATTTCTCAACTTGTCCAGCCTTGGCTAGCAGCAAGGAATATAGGGGAGAACCATGATGCATTCATTTCGCATAATGAAGGCAATCGACCTGGACATGCTGGCCTCCAATAGAGTGATCGCTTATGGCTGGTCAGACGGGGACATGACTGGAGATAGTGCAATACCAATCATGCATTGTCGAGTAACCCAGATATTGGTAAAGAAGTAAACCCGACCGAGCAAAAGAGCCCAGAGGGGTAGCAGAGTATTCGCAACCTCATACAGCCTAGCCGAGGTGGCAACCATGGAGGGAGGGGGATGACAGGAACCGCAATCTGGTAGAGGGACCAAAGCCCAATAACAGAGGTGAAAATCTCATTTAGTCCCACAATGAAGTTTGGTGTCTGGGCTTATGAAGCTTCTAAAGTTCAGCACTGGAGAGGAGATTGTGAGGTGGTAGTGTGTGGTGTTGATGACTGCCACCACCTTCCGAAACAGGAAGGTGAAAAGCGGGGTCTGGAAAATAGCGGAAGAGAAGCTTGATCGTTTATCTCCTCCAACCTACATTTTACTAGTATTCAGTCTTCAATCCACTAGCGTTCCTTTAAGTGAGCATACCAACACCTTTCAATATCTCCTCAAATCAGCATCTACTGCTGGTCGTACATGACCCTGTATTGGAATGCAAACTTTTCTCAGTGTTCCAAAATTGCCTTTACAATGGTTGATGACCACCCCTGCTCAGTGGCATGAATTCATAATCTACCCTTGTAATAGACTAGCGCTTAATCCAATTAGAGGGATTTAGCTGGTTCAGTAAGAGGCACACTAGGGTAACAAAAGTGGAATGGTAACCTATCAAACACTGAAGGGATTTTGCAACCATGGTCCATTTAGGTCATCTGGGTGGGTGGCAATCAATAAAATTTTCTGTACCGATACTCGAGTACATGAGCAAACCAGAAGAACTCTCTGCTCCCAACAGCCAGTAAATTTACCAGGAATAACAACAAGACACCTATCTTGGTTGCTACATGTGCATCTGCGACCATTTCTGCTTTGCATCAGCAAAATTATTACTCTGCGTCCTCAGTGTCTGACGCACAGGATGCACAGGACGCCCAAAACGCAAACCTCCATTCCGGATGCGACGTCAGATCGACGTCGCATCCGGACACAGACCGCTCCGTCCTGTGCGTCCTGACGACGTGAGATGAGCTCCCGCTCCTTCCTGACGACGTTACGGAGGTACAGCGCCTAAGTTTTGTATGTTACACTCGCAGTGGGCATTGTGTGAGCAACTGGTGTAACATACAAGACTTAGGAGCTGTACCTCCGTAGATGATCTTCGGTTCCTTCCCGTCTCCCCTCTGGCCGTCCAATTTATAGTCTTCTCATCAGCAAGTCCATACATAATACTCCTTTCGTCTGGAGTTTTGCCCTCTTCGGGAAGCGTCCAGAATCTCGCTTTCTCCTTCTGATGCATCTGCTCGGCGTCTGGATACCCTCCCGATATCTTCTGATGGCATACCGCTTATTCCAGATAGGCCGGGGATAGATTCCCCATTTTTCACACGTATTCTGGACGCTGTCCCGACGTATTCTAGACGCTGTCCCGAGGTGTTCTCGATGCTCGCCCCCTCTTCCCTACTTCATCGTGACATTTTCTCTACTCTATTTTCGCTATCGGGACGTCACTTCTTGCTAACATCTCTCACATCTATACGCCTCTGATTCTCGTCACATCACTATTGGATAATCAAAATCTATTTTAATTACTCTACACGCCCAAAATCCTCCTAATTACCCCCTCCGATGCCCACTTCTTCCTGCCCGCCCTCGGCGTCCTGCTGTACATTTCCACCCCCCCCCCTGGTGAAGCCTCCCCGGCCTCAAAATCCTCGAGCCTGAGCCATAGGGGGCTGGATAGATCAGGGCTCCTGGCGTTCTCCGGTCCGATCTGGCGACATCCCTCTTCTGGACCAGCGGGATCTGAATTCAAAAACCCAGACTCCCAGTCAACCGACATCTGGCTGAAATCCAAAGACGTATCTGTTTCCTGCGACGGATCCAGGCTATCTTGGCCCCATCCCACTGGCAGGCTCCGGACTAGTGCGTCAATCGGCATCTGTCTTCGCCTCGCAGGCTGTCCGTGACTCTCACCAGCTAACTGACGCTGCAGTTCTGCGTAAAAGGCGTCATAGTCGTAAGTAAAGCCTTCACGCCGCTCCTGCCGGATGCTATGCTGATTCTCAAGCCTTCGAGAAATGGTCGGAGGAAGATTCAAAACAAACGCCTCCCGCGTCTCCTTTACGAACCCCAGCCACGTACTTCTCTGCCTCGCAAAAAGGTCTTACGTTTCGGTCGGCTATTAGCCGTCTTGGTCTTCTACAACACCCCCCAAGATTGAGACGCTCTTACCTCTAACTACATCATGCTTGAACTGGGCTGGGGGCTTATATATCCCGGTTTGCCATGCCCACAGTATATGGCACAGCATCGCACACGTCAGGCAGATTATATTACCGCTGATCCGCTTCAAAAATCCCCGGTCCAGCATCCCTTGCATTTTTACCCCATCGGAATACTTGCCGTATATCGCGTCGGCAATCTGAGGCGCAAGGAACCTGAACGTCCAGTTCTACGCCCAGCTCAGTCAGCCACTGTCCGCGTCATAAACCACTTAAGACGAACCTCATATCCGTTGAGCGAGCACATGAACCTGTCTCCTTCTAGGAGGTAATCAACCCTTCGCATAACAGCCATAGGGTCTTTCGGAAGACTATACAACTTTTCGATATTGGTCCTGATATGGAACAAGAACTGCCCTCTGACTGCCGTGTGTTTACCACGAAGCTTTAGTTGTTAATACCCTATTCTGCGCTGTATCATGGTTGCCTAAGTGACCTTACTAGTTTCCAACTCTCCTCCGATGGATCTATATACCCTGCACCGGATATCGCATCCTGCGCCTTGCTCCAAACTGTGTACACCTGCGACATCAAAGCAATGGCGTTCGGGAGTGGGTCATCGAAAAGCGTGTACCTAAGCATCAGAGCCATCGCCTTCCCTAATATAGCACCTTCTACCCCTATCACTGTGTTTCGCCGCGAGTCAATTGCGGGCCCGATACGCCCGTGACTTGGTATACCCGGTTCACTTGGTGGACTCGAGCTTCGGACGCCAGACGTGGTGATACTATGGGTGACCAGCGGGGACGAATATCGTTCTGTGTTAGAAGACGGGAACGTCGGTGGACGGTAGGCTCTGCCACGTATGGTGCGCCCCGGAGCTACTGGTGTGCGCCTAACAAGAGATACTTCTTACGATCCGGAAGTGGTTGAAATTCGCACAGTCATTGGGCCACTATTTCCTTGTTGGCCCGCTGCCTGCGAGCCATGACGCCGCGCCGACGCTGTACCTTCTTCAATATCAAGCGTTTCTGTATCAGGTTCAGTATCTGATTCGGTTTCTTCAGCGTCGCCTAGGTTTTGGTACGCATCGCTGCTATCATCGCTTAAATGAACCGTTTCCAAATGCTCTTGTCCATCGAGCTCTGTTTCGGGTTCGATATACGCCCTGGTTTGTATTGTTGATCTCCGGCGGCGCTTGGGTGGCCTTGCGAGAACACTGGTTTCATTTGACCTAGGAGACGGGCTCCGACGTGATGGTTGGTAATTTGACAGTGTCGTCCGGGAGGAGCCGGATTGGTTCTGCTGCAATCCCGATCCGGATCCCCTGTTGTCAAGTAAGACGCCACGTCTACGCCCGTTCTGATTGCTTGCTTGTACTCCAGGAGTTGGCTGACTGGTGGATCAACATGGAATCTGGTACGACGTCGCGTCTACGCCCATTCTGATTACCTACTCGGGGAGTTGGCTGGCTGGAGCCCATGGAATCAGGTATGACCTCGTGTCTACGGTGGGCCAGGTTGCCTACTTGCGATGTCGACTGATTGCGTGAATTAGCTTGTTCCCTAGGCATGGTGCAATACAAACGTAGTGATCGTTAAGCAAGATAAATTTCAGGATATAGGGATGCAGGAGAATTGGGTGGATCTCGAGTATTGTAAGGAAGAGGAGGTTGCATAGATTTCTTGGGTTTAACAGGACGCGTCAGGTCTTATACGCTGGACATAGGGTTCGGGAGTGGCATCACAGACTATCACTCGGTATTGAATGCAAAGTTACGCCTGAGAAAAGTGGTTTTCCATCACTCAGCATTAGGTTCGTGATCTGGATATGCTCCATTCTGGTAGTTTAGAGACTGGTATGAAAAGGTCGGACGGGATGAGGTCTTGCTAAGGTAGGAGGCGGGGCGAAAACTAGCCACAACGAGTATCGGTTAGCGACGTTAATTCTAGCAAGACATATGCCGCACCTAAAATGGATTAGAGCTCTCGAGCCTCATCTCCGGACGTCGAATCAGCACCGCTGAACATCCGGATAACAGTATTCACGGTCCCTCAACGCCAGGCCTGTTCTGGACCAAGAAAGCGAGACGCGCGGAATTCAGAAGAATTTCAAGTATCATACGAGAACTGCTGAGGCGAGGCGAGGCTGAGAATCCCCGCTGCCAGAGTAAGAGGGTGAAAGGACATCACTATCTTATACTGTGCCTGGCACGAGAGATCGAAATAGGTATGAGACGCTAAAGCAAGGGCTCAATGGTATGATTACTATGATACTAGCTAAAAAAACACACTACTCCGAGTCTGTAGGGACAATTCCAGACGTTCGACCACAAAACAGCATCACAATCAGAGACGGCTTGAAAAAAAAAGCCAAAGAACATCCTCCAAACGTCCAAAATCATTTTTTGGCAATCCAGCCGCTTCGTCGGTGTAGCGTCGCAAGATTGGAGGTTGTGGAGGTCGCGGAATAGACGCAGCATTCGGTGTCGTGGGAGCTGGAGCAATAGTGGCAGCATCTGAGGTTCCGGGAGTCGGAGGCGCTGTGGGGTTGACGGGGGAGACGGGGGCAATGGGCGTCCCAGGATCGGAGGTTGTAGAAGGCGGCGAAATAGACGCAGCATTCAGCGTTGTGGGAGCTGGAGCAATAGTCGCAGCATCTGGGGCTCCGGGAGCTGGAGGGACTGTGGGGTTAATGGGGGAGTGGGGGGCAGCCGGATGTTCTACGAAGGTGCCTGAGGGGCCAGCAGGAGGGCTGTCCATGGCACCATCGAGCTCAACACGCGGGCGGGCTTCTTCCGTCAGGAGTCGCAACATCCAGGGGCGATTACTGATAGCCTCTCGAATGTATCAGATCTGCTCAGCCTCAGATGGCATCGAAGGTGCAGAGCGTGACCCAGCAATGAAGGGATCGCTGGTAGAGCTCGCCAGCTCCTCCTCTAGTTCCCGATCGCATGGGCGCAGCCTCGCCCTACGGGATTGCGTCGAGGGCCCTGATGCGCCATTCTACCCCGGTGGTTCAGTTATTGAATTTGTATCTTAAGTTAACTTAAGGCGTAGAAACTTACATCTACGATGACGATTACGCCGTCCTGCTGGCGCCTCCGAGAACCATACACTGCCTCGTCGTCGTCGTCGTCGTCCTCTTCGTCTTCCTCGTCATCTGTGTCGTCCAGCTCCGCCCAGTCCAACCTTGATTTCCCCCCCATACCCCGACCCCCACCCTCCTGATCGTCGTCCTCTTCGTCTTCGTTGTCTTCTTCGTCTTCCTCGTCGTCCTCTTCGCCTTTCTTGTCGTCCTCCTCTTGCCCAGAGCGATCCCAGACTTTGGGGTCAAAATACGGGTATGTCCCGTTAGCAGGCTCGGGCGTTCGGATGCGGTCCTCTCCCACGTCGGCGCGCGATTCCAGGACCATGAGGTCCAAGGGACGTCTGCCATCATTGGCGAGGAGCCACGCTTGGATGTCAATATCTTCGTTCCGAAAGATAAGCTCACGGAGAGGGAGAGGGGTTGCGGGTGCGTACGTAATGTCCGGCTGCCATCTCCAGTGGCACCGATGAGATATCGAGGGCATCCGATTGCCTCCTCCACACGTTGCGCCTTGACGACCCCGAGCAGCCCTTGCATGCTCGGTGATGCCAGGACACTCCACGCAATTCCGCGTTTGGAGTCGGCGGTGTACCATGTGTGCCCAAGGAACAGATGCCCAGCTTTAGGGGCATTCGTTCTACAAACGATATGGATCCTTATAACCCGTGGGCAATTACCAAAGGCCGAGTCGGATGGGGCCACTGAGAAAGTGTGTTAGTATGGGGGCGTTTGAATTTCCACGGGGAAGATCACTTACTCGCAGGTCCTATCACTTTGCCATCACCCGCGCTCTTTGCCTTTTCATGCTCGATTACCGTCTGGAGTTTCTTATCCGTATCCTTGACCAAGATTCTCAGCTGTCGATGGACTTCCTTGGCATCGTCAGAATGGTACTTGGTTTTAATAAGCTTGATGTGTGACCGGAGAGGGTTCAGGGAACCGGCGAAAACAACGACAGATGTGAATTGAGTGTCGGTTAGCCGTCCGAGTTCGAACGAGCGTGCCTGCATGTAGGCCTTGACCTCACGACGCCGGGTATCGTAGGGGCCAACTTGATCTCGGGGATTCTTGAATCCACACCAACCTTTGGCATATACTATGTTGACATAGGGTCCTCTGAAATATAAGAGTTAGTTTAAAGCATTCTGACACATGTGAGTTCTAGCAGGCTATCGTTCACTTACTCGGAGTCTTCCATGTCTGGGTCAAGGTGGGGATTCTCGTCTGATTCTGATGTTTGACTGGGACATGAAGGCTAATTGTCAACTCCACGTCCCGCGCTGTATGAACTTCAGAGACACGAATGAATAGTTGCTTACATTCTTTCGGCGACGGCACGAGGGGCAGGCTTGCGTTTGCTCCTCCTCACCTCACTTTCATGAGGCTGGACAGCCGGACGTCTGCAGGAGATCAAAATATCAATATTGCTTACTGGCTAATCATGGGAAAGATTGTACTTACTTTCCCAAACTGACGGCGCTAGCTTGCATTGGCTCAGCGTCATGCGCGGCTGGCTCTCTAAATAGAAACACAAAATTAATACTGCCCACTAGTCACTAATTGGGCGGTATGTAATTTACCCTGCCTTTCACCCCGGTGATTTTCGCTTATTGGCATGCGCCATTTCATCCGGGAGGAACGATTTGAAGGTTTAAAAACAGCGACAGCAGAGCAGAACCTGGGGCGCGGATGGCCAATATCTGAGTGCGAGGCGTTGGAAACTAGAGAGATAGGGGATGGGATTGACAAGAAGGTGGGGTACAAGGGGGCCTTTATATAGATATATCAGACACTGTGTGTGCGTTGCCATGTTTGTTGCCCTACCAGTGGTGAGTGTACAAGCAAAGAACGTCACGATAGTGGGCAAACATTGAACTCTGGGAAGTCGTGACGTCGAATTTGGCTGACGATCCTCCTCATCCGATTCCTGTGAGGGTCTAGCGAGTAGCTTCATTCATTGCACCAGTCACAGTCAATTGACCATACAAATCAATGCATTTCGCCAGTCTTTCATGGAATGTGAAATAAGCTTTTAAGCCTCACGATTCTCCCGACGCCAAGAGACGTCGTTGCCCCAGAGACGTGGAACGACATCTCTTGGCGTCCCCTTAGATGGAGGATTGATAAGATATGATCTTCTAAGAGCCTCACCCTTTTAGCTTGCGTCATATCGACTTCAACTTGAACTTAGATATGGCTAGACGTGCACATCAGCAATGAGAATCTGCAGAGTTTAGAGAGAATCTTTCCATTCAACGGCTACGTGAAATAGTAAATACTGAACTAAATCGCTAACACTGAGCAAATAGATAGACGATCAATCTGCGCCTCGCCTTTTAGACACTTCCGACGAAACTCGAACGCACTCTCTTAGAGTAGCGTTGGCCATCAAACTGCGCACCACGCTTCCGCCCCTCCTCGCGATCCAAAATCTCCCTAGCTATAGAACCTAAACGCAGTCTCTTAGACTTGCGTTCGTCATCAAACTGCGCACCACGCTTCCGCTCCTCCTCGCGATTCAAAATCTCCTTCCATATCAAGTCGCCTTGAGTAGGATCCCGTCTCAATCCCGACGTCTTCTGTGTTTTCAGTCGGTTCAACGATTTGACAGCGAGGGGGATACGATTTGCACGGGATTCAATGTCATCTCCACCGGGGGATGCCCAGCTATGCACGCTGCCTTCACGTCCCACCGTTGCGTTCGAGACATCTGATAACGAGCCAGAAAATATTCCCCCTGAGATATGAGAGGCATCTTCATCTTCCAATTCAGCTGCTACATCAGGTGCTTCACCAGGCTGCCTGTCATCATCCTCAGAGTCTAGCTCCGGGGCCCGGACATGCATTTGGCCTACACGTCCTGCTGGGCCAAAGGCCCAATGGTGGACAGAATCTTGAAAGAGATATGGGTTCCTCCTCAGTGGTGGCGTGGCCCCCACCCTGGCTACCGTCCCCTCAGGCGAGATGCGATCATAATAGATCAAGAGATCGAGTGGGTCGTCGAGAACCGGGTTCGACAGGAGCCAGGCGCTTACGGTTTCATTGTTTTCGATGAAGACATATTCTGTCCAAGATATCGGCAACTGAGGAGACCGGCGCAGCTGCCGACGACCTTCACCAGTTGCGCTAAGTATGTACCGAATCCTGGTTTCCCCTATAGTTCTCTGAATCATCGCTGACAATCTCCGGATATCGTAGGAATCTAACTCAGGAAACTTTATTGCGTTGACATGAGGGGGACGCTAGTGAAGCGACTGATAGTGGGTCGGATTATTTGAGTTGCTATTGCCAGTGGTAGGTCGGACCCAAACAATATGTACCGCACATGGACGTCCAAGTAGGGCACTCCAATCTAAATCTCCATATTCAGTAAGTAAAAACTCAAAGCACATGTATTATTCCGAAGGGGACGCACCAGTTGGCGTAGGGCGATTCCCCCTGAGACCAAGCACGATTTGAACTGGCGGTTGGGGAGCAGGTCCATCTTGTCCTGGCGGTGGGGGAGCAGGTCCACCTTGATCCGGCGGTGGGGGAGCGACTCCGACTTGCACTGGCCGTGGGGGAATTGGTGGCGGAGCGACTCTGAATTGTCCTGGCGGTGGGGGAGCAGGTCCACCTTGACCTTGCGGTGGGTGGGGTGACAACGACCTGCGCTGGCGGTTGGACGACTGCGACTTGTGCTGGCAGTGGGGGACCCCACTGAGCTGGGGCGTGAATCCAACACTTCCGTTGGGAATCAAGCGCACAGGGAAGTACTGAATGGGAGACTGAGAGATGAGTGTGATGGAGGTGGCGTTGTGGAATCACGTAGGTGAGGGAACAGCACCAGAACGTTATGGAGAGGAGATGTTTTTTGAAATGATCTATCTCAGAAAGAAAGAACAGAAAACAAAATATAAGTAGCTCATGGTAGCTCCTCACACCAAGGGCTAACCACAACATAAAGTATAAAAACAACAGTCCTGCTTAACAGGAAAACAAACTCACTCCAGTCAGCATACCCTAATCCCATATAGGACGATGGGGTTACTCCATCAGGGCGTTCATCGGCAATAATGTATTCAGAACAATCACCTGCGCAGGCTGGACTCCCGGCTGGCCCAGTGGCCCCAGCTTTGCACCCCAAGCAGCAGCTGCAAGACGATTGCCAAGGGTGGTTATCAACTTCCGCTCACAGTCCTTAACCAGCTGAACGACTGCGTCGTCCGCCTGCTGCAGACGATGAATGTTATTAGCAGCCGATGTCGTGGCGAGTGTATCACAAGCGGGGCGCAATCTCCTCATCCCTTGGACGATTTGCTGGAATTCGGCGTCAGGGAACGCGTGCAAATCCGCAAAGTTTCTTGCTACCATTTGATCTTTCACAATGTCCCGCCATCGCCCGTACAGATCCTCGCCTGCAGTGCTCGCTGGGATGCCTATAGACAGCTTATACTGGGCGATTTTCCGACGATCTGGGAGCCTCGCGGTGACCACCGCGAGGTAATTAGGGGGAATTTGGTAGGTCAGCCCCAGCGGAGCCTGCTGGTTTCCTGCATTTGGCATGTGGACGTACCGTACGTTGTTGATATTGTGCGCCATGTCGATTGATTTTTGGTTTATATAGATGGTGATCTTGGGGATAATAGTCTTGTGCTGTGCATACGGTGGATGTTGTAGATGTTCTGAACGTAAGATGAATCTTGGTATGAACATCCTTCTGTCGTGATAAATTCACATTATATATACAACTCCCAGACGTCCTAGAGCGTCTGAAAGAACCATGAATTTGTTTCAAAATTGGCTAAGAATTGAAGGCAGGGTGACTTGATATGGAAGGCAGGGTAACGTACCGGATCGGGAAGCGGGCCGCGATGCCGAAGCGGGACGTGGGGGCGGGGCTGAAAAAAGTGATGATAAAGAGTGAAAAAACCACAATTCTGTGAATAGAAAGTATCAACCTGTTCCACTATAGGTCGAGTTAAAGCAAGGAAAGAAGCCCTTCTTGAAAAGACAATTGCACAGGCGATTCGGGCCTTTGAGAAAGGCAGTTACCCCTCCATAACAGCCACAGCACAGGCATTTGACCTTCTGAAAACGACCCTCACATACCGGTTAAAAGGTGAAAGAGTTTCCCGGCATGCTGCCCATATCGAGCAACAGCTTCTGACACCAGTCAAAGAAAAGGCAATCATGAGATAGATAAAAAAGTTAGATGATTGGGGATTTCCGCTCCTGTTGGATATGGTGAAGGGAATGGCAAAGATGCTAGTAGGAAAGAAGAAAGAGGACATTCTAGAAACAGCTGTGGGGAAACGATGGATTACTCGTTTCTTAAATCGTCATCCCAATATTGCCTCTCAGTATAGTGGAAGTCTGGACTGTCAACGTGCCTCTGCAAGCGATCCAAATAAGATTAAAGACTACTTTTGCAAATTTAATCGCCTTCGGATAAGCTACAACCTTCAACCACAGGACATTTACAACATTGATGAGAAGGGCTTTATGATGGGAATGTCAGCAAGAACCAAGGTTGTGACAAGAGTTGGGAGGAAAAGCCCTAGAGTGACGCACGATGGTAAAAGGAAGCTTATTACGGACCTTGAGACCATTTGTGGTGATGGTACTTCAATGGCTCCATTTTTGATTTTTAAGGCAAAAGCAGGCCATTCAATGGGATGGTATGCCAGTCTTGATGATCCTGATGTGCTCTGAGCCTACTCAAATAAGGGCTGGACCAATGACTCCCTTGGTTTTGCATATATTTCTAGGCACTTTATTAAATTTGCCCATACTCTGGCCACTCCTGACAGTAAACTCCTCATCATTCTTGATGGTCACTCCTCACATATCAACTGGGATTTTTGTATGTTCCGTTTAGAACATAATATAATTCTTCTCTGTCTTCCTGCTCATTCTACCCATTTACTACAACCTCTGGATGTTGCAGTTTTCAGTCCTTTCTAGCACTTTTATGGACTTGCTGTGGATGATTTTTCTCAACATTAAGCAGGAGGAATTCACAAGGAAGTATTTTGGCCTTTGTTAAAAAAGGCGCGCATAGAAGCAATTACTTCAAGTAATATCCTTGCTGGATTCCGGGCTTGTGGATTGATTCCTTTCTGCCAAAAAGTTGTCCTTGACTAGCTTCAATTTTCTACAGCTACTTCTAGTAGTACTCCACAATGGCAACGTCCAACCACTCCTTTCAAGCAACTTCGAACAACCTGCAAAAGTACTAATTTCCGCTGGGAGACAAATAAAGTACTTGCCGAAATTGGAAAAGTCTCACAGGAGGAATTACGAAGTCTGATATCACGCTTGGGTGAGTTGGGTGTAGCAGCTCATGCCAACTTGCAAATTGCAGAAGAGTGCCACTGGGTGGACCGACAAAAGACCATTTCAGTTGCTCAAAAGGCAAACAGACGTCGCCTAACTACAGCTAGAGTTATTGATGGTGCTGAGGCCATGCCCCTTTACCAAATTCACAATAAGCTTGACTCCACAAAAGACCACCAAAAAGCCAAAAAACAGCCCCCTGCATCATCACAGAGAGCAAAAAGTATACCAATTACAATACCCCGTGTTCACCAGTACCAGGTAGCCTTCATATCACCCAATTCATCTCCAATTTTCTCTTTTTCCTCTCCTGACAGCATTACTGTCCTGAGTGACAGTGATACAGCCGAATTCTCACCCACCTTACCCACCCCACCACCCCACCGCCTTCAACAACCACCTCCGACTATCCCCCTTGCTACTACTACAAACCAAAGGCTTCCCACAGCCCCCTTTGGCATAGTTTTTCACAATCTAAAACCGTGAAATTCTCTCCTTCCTTTATGTTTCTTTTTTCCCTTTATTTCCTTTATTTCCTTGTTTTCTTTGCCAAATTTTTTTCTTTGCCAAAACTTTTTTCTTTTTGCCCATATCGCCTGGACCTGTTCCCCTACCTGTTGTCTATTTATCTAATTTTGTTTGAACTTATTTGATTTATATTTGATCGAGTTGTTGCTGTTTTTATTATTCTTCCACATCATCCCGCTTCCATGTTGTGTCCTGCTTCGCCATTCGGGACGTTCACAGCAGTGGTGACAGATCTGACACTCAAGGACAAGATCCTGCCACTTTTTGATTCAACATGAATAAATGAAACATGATATCGAAGCTGGTTCAGGGACGAGACCTTCGCCATCCCTATTCTTGAAAGAAACTATACCGTAGCTGATGCCACGTGATATCCGAATATAGGATGGTAAACCTGTTCGACTACTAGCTTCTAATCAGACCCTAAGTGCGACACACATGCATTAGGATCAACACTAAACAATACCGGTACTCTAGAATCTAAATACTAAGTTATATAAGATTGTGCTGCCTCCTACTATGCTTATCAAATGTTTATTCTGCCGCAGAAAATACACCCAGGCTGGTCCATACAAGAAACACCTGCGAACTGCACTTGCAAATCTGGAGATTATCCTAGCATCTACCTTATGATATACATCATCCACAAATACTAATGATGATGTAGAAATAGACCTATTGTACCACAAAGGGTAAGAGCGCCAAGATTCTGACTATGAAGCTGAACTGGAGCCTACTGGATGCGAGCTCGATGCTTTGACTGATGACATTACTCAGGAGTCTGATACTGAGCTACTGGATGACTCTACGTCTTTATTACCCAGCAGGCAGGAGCATTTTGAATGTTCCGGGGAAGCGATTGGAGATGTCAATAGATCTGAGCATGGATACCACAATCTGTGCGCCAAACTATGGATACCATTCACTAGTGCCCACAGTTTCAAACTGGCATCTTGGCTCATTCACAATAAAGTGTCTAAGTCATAAATCAATGAATACTTCTCAAATGGCCATGGTAACCCCACGTCAGTCGACTATAACTCTATGTATATGCTGGAGAACTATCTTCGGCACTTGGAGTCACATAGTACATATCTGTAATGGTTCAAAGGACAGGTTGAAAATTCCGAGGGAACATTACAATTCTTCCATCACAATGCCCTAGACTGTGTCAGATATCTCCTTTACCAGATCCCATACCGAGATGACTTAGTCTACGTGCCAGTACGTGAACATGACTATAGCTGAAAAAGGATATGTGTAGAGATGTATACAGGGGATTGGCAGCGGGATGTTCAAATACATCATCCCAAACAGCTTTAAGGAAGTGTTTGCTGACTGATTATAGAAGATACATCCGCCAGGTGCGACTGTAGTTCCAGTGATTTGGATGTCAAATCAGACCCATTTCAGAAACTTCTCCATTGACAAGAAAGCGTGGCCAGTCTATATGATGCTTGGAAATCTTAGGTCAACCCAGTACAAGATTCCTGGATCAATGGCTGTTCTCTTTCTGGCACTATTGCCCATCCCCGCCAAATTCACAAAGTTCTTCTCAGCAACTACCTGGCAGAGGCAAATCAATGACAACATATTACAAGATGTACTCAAACTCTTGTTTAAGCCCTTACAACAGGTAGTGCTCAAGGGTGTCAATATTGACTGTGCCAATGAGAAGGTTTGGAGATGCTTCCTAATCTTGTCTGCGTAGATTGCAGACCATATGGAAAACATTGCCTTATATGGAATAAAGTGAAATGCTTGTCCTAAATGTGAGGTTCTTCCCGGTAAATTAGGAACTGATGATAGGAACAAGTGTCCAGTGAGATACTGAAACAACTATTAGAGATATATTTATATCTTAACTAGGCTAACTTCTTGAGTCACCAGTGCCTCCAGGTGTATTTCTGTATCTCACTTGTATTCCCGAGTTTTAGAAGAGATAATATCACTTAGTAGAGGAAATACAATGCCTGGTGAGGGGTAAAGCAGAAGTGGTTAGCAAATTCAATGATGGACTGTTGAGGAAACAAGAAGAAATCTATCGTAATTGTCTACTACTAATAATATTCCCAGCTTTCTGTTATAGAGAAAATGTGAAATCTAAACAGTACAT